CTTCTTCTTCTTCTTCTTCTTCTTCTTTTCTTTTCTTCTTCTTCTTCTTCTTCTTCTTCTTCTTCTTCTTCTCTTCTTCTTCTTCTTCTTCTTCTTCTTCTTCTTCTTCTTCTTCTTCTTCTTCTTCTTCTTCTTCTTCTTCTTTTCTTCTTCTTCTTCTTCTTCTTCTTTCTTCTTCTTCTTTTCTTCTTCTTCTTCTTCTTCTTCTTCTTCTTCTTCTTCTTCTTCTTCTTCTTCTTCTTCTTCTTCTTCTTTTCTTCTTCTTCTTCTTCTTCTTCTTCTTCTTCTTCTTCTTCTTCTTCTCTTCTTCTTCTTCTTCTTCTTCTTCTTCTTCTTCTTTCTTCTTTTTCTTTTTTCTCCTTTTTTACCTTTCTCTGTCTTGCTTTTCTCCCTTTTTCGTCTTTTTTCTTCTCGTTTCCTTTTTCTTTTCACTTTTCACCATTTCCTTTTCCTCCGTCTTTTTTTCTTTTATCCTTGTTTTTTTTTTTTTCTTTTCTTTTATTTTCATCTCTTTTCTTTCCTCCAGCGCGATATTCCCCCGCCGTCGCGGGGTGCGCTAATCTTGCTGGACGTCGCTTCTGGTTCCAATCTACTGCATCTTCCCATTAAGACGTTCACTTCGGTCGTGGCCCTTTGATGATTTCCCTCCATCTTCTCCTTGAAGCTGCTCGCGGTGCTGACCATGTACTTCGAATTCTGACGCCTTCCTTATTGTATGTTCTTCAAAGCTCCTCAACTCCCACCATCGCCGTTGCTGCCTTCTGAATCGGAGCCGTCTATGTGGCTGCCTTATGTTCTAATTTCTGAGTGTCCAGCAGCGAGCCCATCTCAGCATCCTCATTTCAGCTGAGTGGAGCTGCCTTTCATGGATTCTTGCAGATAGGCCAGCACTCTCTGCTCGTAGAGCATTGTAGGCCTGACTTATCCGGTATGCCTTGCCCATGAGCCACCGTCGTCACAGAGGATGCCTGCGGGCACTCTCCACTCTATCCAGACTGCACTGATCCGTGCATTTACCGTCTGGTCCGATCCGCAGCTATATTACTCCCCAGGTAGTGGGAATCCTCGACTTCATCGTCGTTATCGTCATGCAGGTCACGATAGCTTCGGGGCGCTGTTTGGAGCTCAGGAAATCGGGCTTCTTTACATTCGTTCGAGGGCCACATGCTGCGAGCACATCTCGGCAATGTCGTCAGTGTAGAGAATGGTTCTGCGCGAGCGCTCCATTAATCCAGAGTCAGTGCAAAGAGGAGGCGGCTCAGGGATGATGCTTGATGTATGCCAACCATGTCTACCTTCTTGATCGAACCGGGAAAACTGGGAGCAATCAGGTTGTGGTGCGTACACAGCCAGAACTAAAACGGCTCCCTCCTCCTCTCCACCCCTCGAATCTATCATCACTCCCACGATACGATCAGTGATCGTATTTACAGAAGAGACGCAGTCCTTGAGGTATTCTGCCATCCGCTATTGCCACACCATTCCGTTTTGTCTTCCTTCATTGTAAAAGAGTTCGACAACTTCCCCACGGGCCTTCGCCATCTTCCATCGCGTTTCGCGAAGGTATACGACTCTGATGTTCTAGCATTTCAGGAGATCGGCAGCCTTTCGAAGACTTCCCGTTAAGTGCGCTCCTGGTCCATTTCCAACTATTAGGTTGTTGCATAAGTTCTTATACACGTGTTTGATCCTCTCCTATTTCGTTCGCATGGATGTTGGTATTACGTCATCACGTGTGCGTGACGTGTACATTATACAGGGGGGCCAAAAAAAGTCACTTCGACCGAGTCACATATCAGCAAAGTTTTCGCAGCCCAGACAGAGGACGTGGATACGAGTACCAGGGCGGAAGATACCCAAGATGTTCCTCTATAAGCAGGAGCTGGCTCTCGCCCATCACCTTCATGTACACCAAAATATGAAGTCATCTCCAGTCGCAACCTGACTGGAGAAGACCTTTGGAATTCATGTCACCTCCAAACAGCTGCGAAACTTCTAGTATGGAGTCACCCATGGATACCTGGAGACCAGTACTCTCAATCTGGATGACCTCCAACATCGAGCAGCTTCGTCAACGTCGCTACGGTCTAGGACATCATCTTCACCGTAGTCGCCGAGGCGCGAGTTGATGGTATGGACCGGGGTACCTGGAATGGGAAGACCGATATTTTCTTTGTAGACCCCGACTGAAGGTGAGCGCTGGCGGTTACATCAAGTAACTCGAGAAGAATATCCTCCCTACATGTGGTCGCCCGTACCTTCTTGGAGACCTTGTGCTGCTACAGGTTTGGGTGCCACCACATGGAATCGAAGGGTTTTGGAAAAACTCCCGCCTACTTCGAATGGAAGGGCGTTTCGTACCTGAAGAAGATGTAATATTGAAGTATGTCCCCTGAACCCACTCAATTACCTAGTTCGGGCGGAGTTCAATAGGGTGGTCTACGGTGGCGGAGAAATCGACTACCCCGCTGATCTCAGGTACCACATCGCTCGCGTGCCAGAATCTCTCGATGGCGTTCGTCCAGAAGGCTGTGGCGGAGTGTCGTGATAGTACTTAATATGCTCTTCAATATGGTAGTAAAAATGTCCCGATCAGAATGCTGAGTTAAAGCCGTAAACTTATACCGCCTCGAAAGTCAATATAGGCAAGGAGGACTTTTGCGCCCCCCCTGTACTCCTTTCATGGTAGGTAAGCTATCATGCACCAGCTTGATTGTGGCGGAGTACCACAATGCTCGCAGCAATTTGCACTGCTGACAAACGCACCTGCCACGTTTGGTTTTTGCTCCCGATTTCGGGCTGCAGCTGACCAAAGAAGCCATACCAACGCTGCGTTGGCTATACAACGGCAGGACGTCATCTCTCACATGCCGATGCAAGAAGTTGTGGCGGCCGATATTCAAGAAAGGAGACTTTTCTCTCGAAGATGCTCCGAGGTCGGGTCGGCCGATGGAGTTGGATTTGGAAGTACTACGTTCCACCGTGGAGGAGGACCCGTACCTCACCACCAGAGAAATGGCGACCATGCTTAGCTATGATCATTCGACGGTTGCACGTGGACTAGAAAAGCTCGGCAAGGTAGCAAAGCTTGGTCGATGGGTCCCACATGAACTGTCCGCTTATGACCTCTCGAGGAGGGTGACCACCTGCACTTCTCTCCTCACTTTCCAAAAGAGGCTTCACTTTCTCAACTCGATGATCACTGGAGATGAGAAGTGGGTCCTCTACGATAACCCTGTGAGGAAGCGGCAGTGGGTCGACAAAGGAGAACAGCCAGAAGCCACCCCAAAGGCCGACCTTCACCCCAAAAAGGTTCTCCTGTCCTGTTGGTGGTCCAGAAGAGGCATGGAGTACTGGGAGCTGCTGGAGAAGGGACAGACGATTGACGCTTCCACATACGTGACCCAGCTGCGGAAATTGAAAGATCACGTCGACCGTACTCGTGGAAGGAATGCGGAAATCTACTTCCACCATGACAACGCCAGCATACTACACTGCGAAATGGCGCACCCAGGCCGAGCTGTGAGAAAATACGGCATGATGGCTGATGGTCGCCCACCCTCCCTACAGCCCTGACCTCGCTCCTTCTGACTACTGGCTGTTCAGCCACCTGCAGCGCTATCTGGACGGAAAAAAGTTCGAAACAAAGGATCAGGTCAGAAAGGCGCTCGACGACTTCTTCAAGTCCCAGCCTCCGTCGTTCTGGAAGGATGGAATCGACAAGCTGCCTGAGCGCTGGCGTCGAGTAGTGAATGGTGATGGTGCATACCTCTAATCTCCAGGCTGGTTCGTTTTTGAGATATTTACAAAAAAGTCGTGTATAAGAACTTATGCGACAACCTAATAGCTCCTTTTAGCCGAGCTCGTTAACCCTCGGTCGCCCTTGCAAAGAGAACTCAGGCGAAGAATCAGCGCACTACCTCCGGGTGACTCCCTTGCATCAGCTATGATACTTTGCGGCTTTTCATGACGTCTGTGAACGAGTTGGACGGAGTTCTCCATCAGCCGGCCTGTTGCCATCATCCTGAGTCTGGCGTAAGTATCGGCACCTTTTTTGCAATTTTCGCAGGGCATATCACCTTGATTGATCGCAGACCCTGTCTTTGAGTAAAAAGATAGCGGTATCGTATGGACTTCATCAATTCCAGGTTCGGAGCGCTCTCGATGACATGAGCGAGTAGAGCCGAAACCACGGCACATCGTCGCCGGGAATACCCCAGCACGGGATCGCTTCGGGGCCTGACAACACAATTTTTGTTTTTGTATGCAATGATTTTCCTTGCTTTCACGGACGCCTATTAAAGCGGATGGCCATGATTCAGCTTGTTTTAGAAGCAGGCGTATTCACTTCCCCGCTTTTTGAGAGAGTTTGCTGACATTTCATAGTTGAAACTCCTACGACAGTCTCGAGAACTTAGTGAAGAGGCAAGGTTTTGATAGATAATGCACGGAAGCCCTGACTACAGCAGGGAGTACCGGTGTACGTCAATGGCAACTTATTGCGGCCCTAGGACACCATTGGTGGCTGTCCAGGGAGCCTGTTTCATTGAATTGTTAGATTCGCATTTTTCGTGCTGGTCTGCTTGCTTTTGTCGTAACATTCGCAGGATTTTCCGCGAAAGCTAGTAATCATTGCTCATATTTATTCTCGCTGTCGTTTCCGTGCCCTTTGTTATCATTGACAGTGATAATTGCTAGATTTCTAGCGTTCGTTTCCTTTATTATCAGTGCTATTTCAACGCACTTTTGACAAATTAATAGGCGGACAGATAGAATAAACCAATTAAGTTATTAAATAATAAACATACAAACAACTAGATAAATAATCAATTGGATGAATGAGCGAATAAACAGCTAAATCATTGCTATCAGTAGCTTGTAATAGTCATTTCTTAGTTGTTTGTGGGCTTAGATTTATAGCGTATGGAGCTTAGAGAATAAACTTAATATGCAAGTTAATGTCGATGGTGTTAACGTGTAGCGATACAAGGCATTCACCAATGGAAATACTTGCAGTTTGCCATCAACTAGTCTTGGGACTGGCTCTGAAGTACTACTTGGACCGAGCAAAGTATGGCGAGAAGATTGAAGCTTACAAACAGTGCCTCATAAGCCAGGTTAGAGCCAGGAGTGATATAGCAGATTCTTTCGAGGCATCTTCTCGCAAAAAGTCTGTATCATAATTACTTGCGATTGTTCCAGGTGAAACTTATTAGAGAGTACGCCAATCGTCCAAGTAGCGATAGAAAGATTAAGCAAGATGTTGACGAGATCATCAAATTCGAAACGAAGATTGCGAAGATAATGGTAGCTGAAGAAGATAGGAAAAACCTACACTAGAATGTACAACCTTCGTCGTCTCAACGATATGGATAAACTGACACCCATGGTGAGTAGGCGTTTCTGGATGTCCCGCTGCCAATAACTGTCTATGCTGCTGGCGTAGAGCATCGACATTTCAGCGAGGAAGGATCTGAACCTGCTCGGGTATACGTGATCAGTAAGCGTTTACTCACATAGTCAGTCACTGTCAACGACACCCCCCCCCCACAGACACACACACTACGCTCGTTGCGATCACTCGAAAGATAATGTATTCAAGTGCTCCTCCGCTGGAAAGGTTCGTGAGGCGCTCTTTCTCGCTGTTAGTAGCAGAGGATCGTTCTCCACAGCAGCGCCGCAGTTGTTCTAGGTAGGCGAAAAAGCCTGCACTCAAGGATAACTTTCGCGCAGGCATATATTCCTGGTACATGTACGCTGCGTGCATTTGTTCATCTGCCTGAAGGGAGTTATTTCACCCGCCAAGCCAACAGTGTACGATCCTTTTCCAAAAAGTGATGGGTTCCACTTTTACTTCAAAACACGACTTGGCCAGACCAAAATCACGATTTTTAGAACCGAATTCAAGACCTCTTCAATCAGGTTTCATCAGTAACTTCTGGAAGCGCCCCCTTACAGTCACATCTACATTTCTATGCGGTCTGAACTTTTGAAATTTTTCTACCATCTCTGCTTCTGGGATATTTTGCACTTTTTTTGCACATACGCATTAGCTGGTGAGAATTGTTCTTCGCCACGTAGGCAACTGCCCACACTTTTCATTCATGTCGAAACATCGCTCGTAACTTGGAAAAACGCCAGGCAAAGTTCATTAGGAGCGGTGCGCAGAAATGTAACAGTTGAATTTGAGATCTCATCCTGCCGAGTTGTACTATTTTGGAATTAAGAGCGAGAAGCTTTCCACAGTGGGTGGGGTTTCACGCAGCCGTCGGAAAGAGCGAATAAGTATGGTCCACACAAAGCTGTAAATGTGGTGTGCCCAAAAGACGGGGCCCGATGGCCACTGCATCAATGCGCCTATAAGCGCATTCGTTTTAAATAGTAGATGTTCTGAAAATCGCGACTACGCTGGAATGTGGGCACGGCTGTAGGGGCGGAGCCTGCAGTTGTGTTTAGTGAGGGATGGGTTAACATGTTTCGCGTTTTGACAGGTTGTGAATTCGGTTCGAAGAATCGAGTTGAGAAGTCTCGAATTTGAAGTGAAAATGTTATATGTGTGGAGGATACACCACTGGGAGCTGATTGATAGTGAAAATTGATTGAAGGACTTCTATTGATGGCTGATCGTGGCAACCCACGACGAAATCCTAGTTCTTTATCAGAAGTTTATCTCTCAGTTCATTGCTTCAGTTCATCACTCACTTTTCTCGGTCTTTTTTTCTAAAGACGTTATGTCATGTCAAAATAATATTTGCTTGAAGAGCTTCAACAATTTTGTTATGTAGAGCCCGTACGGACGTGAACCTGTCCTCGCAAAGCTTCTATGTTGCTGCTTCAAGGTGCCCATTCAGTAAACGTGAGGATTCATATCAGCTTCAGATTGGTGCGGAACCAAATAAAAACATCTACCCTCTTCAGTATTATGCCCACAATCTCCAGGTTGACATGGGATTTAGGATATCAAGGCTTTTAGTCTTCGATTGTGGGGGCCGCAGAGAGCAATTATGTGGGATTAGTGGGATCGATAAATACAAAATGAGCCTCACATGGACGATGCTTTCACCACTGATTCTGCTATCGATCAGGTGCTTCAAAATTTGAGTTTCTGTCATAAAAGCTTGCGCTTCACGGTGAAACATGCATA